CAACATTTGGCATCGTCTGTGGGAAACGATACGAAAAGTTGTGTCGGTTATTTTTTCATTTTTTCACCTCCGCCGTGAATTTGCAAAATCACAGAAACACCAAACCAAAATCCCAGTCCCATCTCTCTCTCTAGAAACCCAGAAATGGGTAAGCAGAAAAAACACATACTTTAGATCTCTCTCCATTCCTCATCCGGGGTTTGTTCCCAGTGCATCAAACTCTCTACATCTCTCTCTCTCTCTCCTCTTGCTTCACTGGGCCTCCAATCCCACTCGAAGATCTGAGCGGCGATGTTCCTCGACAGCGCCCCGGCTTCACAGAGTCCGAGCCCGCCTATACTTCGCTGGAATCAGAGAAGCGGTCGGGATCAATCCTCGTTCTCCGAGGGCCACCCGACACAGAATCCGACCCGGGAAGTTTCGAGCTGTTATACGACGATGAAGCCGGGATGGGTCTCCGCCCGCTGCCGTCGTCGATGTCGGATATCTTAATGGGTTTGGGTTTCGACCGGTTGCTTTACCAGTTGACTTAATTAGAAAACGGTGTCACGCTGCTCGACCACCCTCCGACGTCCAAAGCCACGATCGAGTTAATGCCCGTCATCAAAATCACCGACAACCACGTCTCGACGGAGTCGTACTGTGCCGTTTGCAAAGAGGCTTTTGAGCTCGACTTTGAAGCTCGGGAGATACCGTGTAAGCACATCTACCATTCAGATTGTATCTTCCCATGGCTTTCGATCCGAAATTCATGCCCGGTTTTCCACTACCAGCTCCCTACCGATTTGAGAAGCCCGTGTGGTAGTGGCATGGCTTCGCCAGAGAACAATGGCATGGTTGGAGAAGAAAAGACAGTGGGGTTGACTATCTGGAGATTGCCTGGTGGCGGATTCGCTGTGGGGAGGTTCACTAGAGGCAGAAGAGCTGCGAAGCGCGAGTTTCCAATTGTTTACACCGAGATGGATGGTGGGTTCAATAGAGGTGGCTTCCAGTTGTCAGGTTGTTTTCTTCATGATTCAGTGGTGCATCTCTGGTATGCCTCATATGAATTTTCTAAACAATTTTTGTTGGTTGTCCATCTTCTCGAAGTGTTCTAGTTTCTGGGAAAGACGGAATACCATCTGATTCAAAGTCCATGTCTACTTTATTAGATGCCACCTCTAGCATCAAAGGCTAATAGTTCGCATACGGGTGCTCAGTCAGACAATGGTTCAATGTTGTATTACCTCCACAGCTATAACCCATATGCCCCAAGAACAACTAAAAGAGCTGTAATGGTTTCTGGCAAGGAGGAGCCAGATTTTTCTCTGCCCCCAGCAATGGACTACTGTCTATTCTACTTGATCATTATCCTCCTCGAGTCTTGACAAGCATGGGCAGTTTGATCCAAGTGATGTCAAGATGCTTTTTAGAGCTCTCTTTGAAAGAATGGGCTGGCAAACTGATACTGACCTGATAGGTATGGTAAAAAGCAGAATTACTGCTCCACTCAATTTCACCATGTGAGGCAGGACAAGCAATAATTCAAAGAGCTCAGTGACCCATCCCCTGCATCTTCTTACAGGGTGGTAGCCATGTGAAATCACTTTCTAAAGGCCCAGAGGGTATGTCTACTTGAGCAAAGAAACATAGTGGGAAACAGAAACAAAAGCAAAAGCAAAGCATAAAAGAAAAGAGAAAGCAAAAGAGAAAGCAAAAGAGAAAGCAAAAACAAGGAATAAACACCCCCACCAGAATGATGTGATTTACTTTTATTTTTTATTTTTTATCTTTTGGAGATATCTGTATAAACCCCATCAGAGGGTAATAATAATAATAATAATAATAATAATAATAATAATAATAAAAACGGCAAAGCCCAAAATAAATGGGCTGGAATGTTATGGAGGGCGAAGGCCTATAAGCCCAAAATAGCACCAACCAGGTGATCAAAAGTACGCCCAGTACTCCAAAATTATTCGACACCTCACCGCCATTACCACCAACCAGGTGATCAAAAGTACGCCCAGTACTCCAAAATTATTCGGCACCCCTCTGCCATTACTACCAACCAGGTGATCAAAAGTACGCCCAGTACTCCAAAATTATTCGGCACCCCGCCGCCATTACCACCAACCAGGTGATCAAAAGTAAGTCCAGTACTCCAAATTTATTCAGCAGCCTGCTGCTATTACCACCAACCAGGTGATCAAAAGTACACCCAGTACTTCAAAATTATACATGAGCATTACTCATGTCAATCATACATAAACATTCATGAGCATCACTCATGTCAACATCCATGAGCATCACTCATGTCAACATCCACGAGCATCACTCATGTCAAAACAACACAAACATTCATGAGCATCACTTATGTCAATCAGCTTCAAAAGCTTCATTTACAGAGCTCCAACTTCAAAAGCTTCATTTACAAAAGCTCTAGCTTCAAAAGCTTCATTTATAGAGCTTTAGCTTCAAAAGCTTCATTTACAAAAGCTCTAGCTTCAAAAGCTTCATTTACAAAGCTCCAGCTTTAAAAGCTTCATTTACAAAAGCTCCAGCTTTAAAAGCTTCATTTATAAAAGCTCTAGCTTCAAAAGCTTCATTTATAGAGCTCTAGCTTCAAAAGCTTCATTTACAAAAGCGCTAGCTTCAAAAGCTTCATTTACAAAAGCTCCAGCTTCAAAAGCTTCATTTACAGAGCTCCAGCTTCAAAACTTCACTTGCAAAGCTTCAGCTACAAAGTTTCAGTGCAGGGTATACAAATACCGCCTCCGAACAACTGCCACTTCAGCCCATACATGGATTCAATTTGAAGTCTCCAGCCAACAGACTCTATTGACCGAAGACTTGTGGGACTACATTATGTACCATATATTGGGCCTCAACTGGGCCTTATAAAAAATACTTGGGGGACTTAGCCTATTATTTATGTACTGAGGAGCAAGCCTTTATTTTATAAAAGGGACTCCCTCACCATCATTAGAGAGCATCAACTCTAGCCCATCATTCATGTATTGAGGAGCGAGCCCTTATTCTATAAAAGGAACTCATTCACCTTCAACGCCACAAGCCGAGCCAACCAAGGTAACATAAGCCACGAGTCGAGCAACCTCGCAGCATGTGCTACTTCTAGTTGAGCATCATTTTAGATTGAGCACCGCCTTGTATCGAGCATCAATTTAAGACAACATCTAGTTACTTCGGCCCACACATGGACTGAATTTCAAGTCTCCAGCCAAAAGACTCTCTTGACTGAAGACTTGGGGGACTACTGTTTATACCATATTTAGGGCCTCCGTATTTAGATCTCGTACAAATACTCAGGGGACTTAAATGTAATTATGTAATAAAAGAAGTGGCAAATATGTAATAAGTGAGGAGCCTTATTCTATAAAAGGACTCCTCACCCTCACAATTAAGGAGCCCAATTCCTAGGCCATTAGAGACTTCACTCTCTCCCTCAGAGGCTCTGAATCTCTCTCCCTCACAAACAGAGAAATACATGGAGCACAGAGGAAGGGTTGAGCATTTCGAGAGGCTCGTGGGGGGGAAGAAAGCTGAGTATTTCAAGAGGCTTCGTTGGGAGTGCCCTCTTAAATATGAGAAAAGGTTGAGCATTTTTGGAGGTCTTCCTGTCTATGGAGGATGGAGGTCGACATATATAGGAGTCTCCTTAACGAAACCGAAAGCATAAACAAACAACATACCTAAATTGTAAAGGCATTACAATTTTGTTATTTGAAAGCATAAACAAGCAAACCGACCTAAATTGTAAAGTCATTACAATGTAGTTATTTAAATGCTACAAACAAGCAAACGGACCTAAATTGTATCTTCCACTACAAATAAACAAAAAGAAGAGATCTTGTCTTGTCTAATTTCGAACAATGTGCCAATTAGAGAAATAAATCAACGGATGAGATTAAGATAAGATCCAATCCAGTGATTGTTATGAAATGAAATCTTATTTTGTTTGATTTCAGCGAATGTATTAATCAGACAAATAAATCAACAGATGATATTGAGATAATATAATCAAATCCAATGATTGTTATGAAATAAAATCTTATATTGTTTGATTTCAAAGAAACAAACAACATATGAGATTGAGGTAAGAGAATTTAAGTCAATGGTTCATAAGTGATGAAATCTAACTTTGTCAGAAAGTAAGACAAAATTTAAGATATCACGTTCAAAAATCAACTTAAGAAAAGTTAAGACAAAAATAAATTTACCACGTAATTAAATTACTATATAATAAATTTATAGAGTCGGAAAGTTATATAGTCTCTTCATAGATCTGTACCTGGATGGATGTAGCCCCATTCTTTGACCAATTGAAAATGAAACCTTTCATTAAAATTACAAATATAGTAACCTCAAAAGAGGATAAAGCCCCATTAAAAATGCTCTCGTTAGAGACGCTCTAGTGCCATGAAGATCTTTCTCCTGAGTAATAATATTCATACCATGTTTTTGTATCACATTTTCTTACCATCTTAGGTGACATTTGATGTGGATAGTCACATAATTTGAATTAATCAGATTTTTAAATTTAGCTCATTATTTAATAAACTAATAATTAAGAAAAATAATTAATTAAATGATAATTGTGGTATACGAGGAGTCTTTCTTATTCCTTTATTTGGATTTTGCAAATTTTTCAAATGATGTTGCTGTGTACATCAGATACCACCTAAAGTTGTATAGAAATATAGATAAAAACATGGTATGAATAACATTACACATTTCTCCTCAATAGGGAATTGAATTACCCTCGGGTTTGTGAATGCAAAGTGAGCCCGGGACAGCAATGTTCTGCTTTGTCTGGCAGGTAACACGTGTACTCAAGTTCTCATGCCACGTAGCGTCTCACGTAAACGACTTCTTCCCCTGCGTGTGCACCCGCGACCCAAACGGCATGCCGTATAGCGGTTTAACTTCAATCCACCGCTATTTTCCGTTGCTTCCCAATTACACCAGTTTTCCCCCATTTTTTTTTTCTTCAATTTTTTTTTTATTTCCCCACAAAATAAATATTTCTAATTTTAAAATAGGGAGATCTTCGGGTTCCACATTTTACTCCTTTTTCACCTTTTCTTCAGATTTTCCCTAATATCTTCTGACGATATTGTATTCATTCTTTCACCAAAAGAAAGATGGCCCCTTTGAAACCCTAATTTCCTCACATTCTCGCTCTGATTTGCCCCCAAAAACTCTCGCATTGCAGTCAATTTTCTGAAAATTGAGGCGCTTCAACTTGCATGAAGGACTCCTGAGCTACTGGCCAACTATGGTATGTTTACCCAATTCCCAGTTCAATTTTCTTGCTTTTTTCCAATTGAATTTTGTAATTTTTTGTTTATCTTTTCGAATTTTGGTTTTTGAAAGTTTGGATCTACTAATTAGACTTGCATGGGCCTAGGTAAGTTAGTAGGAACTGTCTGGTGGGGTTTTTAAGCATGTGAAGTGTTTGAGGGAGTAGAATTATGGAACTTTAGGGCAGGAAGATGTCGGTTTTACCGGGAAAGCAGTAGATTTGACATATGTTATGCTGCGTTTTAGTGATGAGGGCATTCATCTATGGTTCATTACGTTAATTTTATTGATTTGACTGTGTAAAGAAGTGTATATGTCTATGTCATATCTGCAGTGTATGCATGTGCTGTACCATATTTTTTTTTTTTTCATTTTGAATCTAATTGGTTTTTTCCGAAACTTACAAGAGAGTAACGAATTTTGTGAGTATATTCGCCAGGAAGATGATGGTACTTGATCTTTAGAGAAAAACTTCAAACCCAATAATTTGAAAAGGAAAGAACCCAACTGACTTGATCACGGTTTTTTTTTTTTTTCCTTGAATTGAGCTCTTGAAGTGTTTTTGTATAAAACTTTGTCATGGTGTTTTGTTCTATGTTTGAATGAGGGACAAACTTAAATGCACTACCAGAACACTACTGATGAACTACTAAAGCACTACAGATGCGGTAGAAAGACATGCAAGGACTTTCAAGGTGTCATTTGAAAGTTCTTTCAAATGTATTGCATCTAGTCATTTTTGTAACCTCTCTATCTATTTTTTGTAGTGCATTTCTGAAAGGGCTAACCTAGGTTTCATGGCTTTAAACACATCATCCAAATGTAGTTTCTTTTCATTAAAAAAAAAATCATCCAAATGTAGTGTTTACCCTATGTTTGGATGAGGGACCTTAAAATTCCAAGGGACTTAAAACAGTGAGATAGGGACTTGAAAATTATTACAGGCAATCCCTTTTTTAGTGTCTTTATTAGTTCATTTATGGTGTTTATGTAGTACACTTTTAACAATTAAGTCCAATTTCCTTGATACTTTGAAAGTCCTCACCCAAATGTAGGGTTAGAGTATTTGCTATGCAAACCACCATACTCAAAAGTCTCTTGTAATATTTCCAGAGTTCTGAGTGTTTGGATATCACTTTGCTGTGAGCCTTGCTTTCCATTCTAAGCTATTATTTTAATTTCTGTTTCAGTAATCCACAATTTATACTTCTTATGCCTGCTCCTACCAGGTTTATTAACTAGAATCATAGTACTTTTACTTTGTGTGCGTGTGTGTGTGCGTGTGTGTGTTCTAATGAGAAACAAAGACTTTAAAAGTCAAGAAAGTACATGTTGAGTCCAGTCAAGCGCAATGTTGTAAAAAGCCAAGAACCATGGTACTTTTCTAGTTGTCAATACTCAGTAGGCAATTGTGAACCAATATTTTGTGTTTTTCTTACTAAACTTGTAATTCTCCTTTATCTGTTTTTGTTCCCTAACAGCCCATGGTGATGCTATAGTTCATCAAAAAACAAAAGAAGAAATTATGATGCTATAGGAATGTCACTGTTCGTGCATTTACTCTATGACAATGTCACTGTTCGTGCATTTACGCTATCCCTCATTTATATATTATTAAGCAGCTTTGAATTGGATTTGTGTTTTCGGTTTCCATTGTATTCATGGAGATTGCGCCTGATAGGGTTAATCAATTGGAAATCATTATTTATAATATATTATTATTAATTCTTTTGCTGTCCAACCCATCAAATCTCAAAATCTGCCGACCTAAGTTCTTTTAAGAATAAATAATAAATTAAGATAGCTATTCCTTTTGAACTTTCCTGTTTTCATCCTTCTGTGAGATGATTTATCTAATATAATGAAAGATGTAACATTAGTGGCTTCTCATTTTTAGTGATTCAAACATTTTTTTAATCATGTTGTAGTACTCCTAAATTTTTTATAACTTCAGTAATATATAGAAAAAAATTTATAAGTTTTAGACGCATATATCATATAATGTCTCCATAAGCACTGATATGCATGAAGAGTGAAGATTTCGGATACTGATGGTTAATCCAATTTACAATATACCTACCTCTACTCTTGTGTCCTAATTTATCACTTTTGTCTGTTCTTCGTAGTTGTACATTCCTCAATTAGACTGCTGTTGACCCTAAAATCTACCAAGCCTACGTGGCGCGCAGGCCGAATATATTCTAAGCTAACTACGTCCTTCGGTGATTGCGGGGCGTGCCAACTCGTCGGCCGAGGCTCGGCCGAGGAGTAAATTTGATGATGCTGCGTTGGGTCGCGCTACTGACTTCTGCGTCTTGCGATTGCGGCCGAGAAAGGAACGCGTCTCGGCCTCTTGGGTTCTCGAGCCTGAAGACAAGGCTGCTATTTCTTACAAAGTTCACGAACCGAATTCGGCTTACAATGTGCCGAATGTAATAACTGTAACACCTCACCTCGCCGAGAAGGCTAATGAGATGACCTCGACCAACAAGGATTCGAAAACCCTTCTCGACCGAGACTTGGATAGGCAATCGACCGTTCTCGCCGCAGTGCTGTTGATGCCAACGGAAGATACTGCGAGACCGACCGACTCTACGGTGACAGAGCTATCTATGCCGACTTAAGATATCACCGGTTGCTTCCACAGTGCTGTTGATGCCAACGGAAGATGTGTCAGCGAAAAAGGAAAAGAAAAAGATCTCAAGTTGTGAGAGTTTGCGCAGGGCAATTTTGTATTGATTTTTGTGGGGCTTTCCTGATGCACAGCTTCCGCTATTTATAGCACTGGACCCCGAATCTGAGATAGAATCCCATTCGGACTAGGTTTTCCCTCTCCGGATCAATATCACCTCGACCAGTCCTGTTTTCATTAGGATTGTGAACCTAGTCCTTATTCGAGCCCTATCCGCTTCTAGGTTGTTAATCCTGCCGAGAATCCCTATTGTATCAGGACTCGGCTTGTCATTGCATTTTGACCTAACTGGCCTAGGTTTGGAAGCCCATAAGCTGAACGATCCATGGTCTTCTTGTCGCAAGGCCTTCCGGGCCGAGAATGGCTCTACACTCGGCCCAAACTATTATTTTGGGCCCAAACATTGCCCCCTCGCTTCTGAGGTCCTCGGCCTGCAATCTTCGGCCGAGTTCCGGCCTTGAAGAAGCGAATCTACCACTCAGAATCCTCATACCCGAGTTCCAAGGCGCATTTATTGAGCACGATCGCACGATCTTGATCCTGCTAACCTACTCACCACGTGGCGTCCTCTAATATGGCCAATCCTACATAATGACGTCTAAGGCGTGCGGCAGCCTGAACTGTCTTGCCATCATGACCACTATCTCAATCCGCGAGCCACTACCTCAGTCCGTGAGCCCATTTGTCATCGTGCGGTCGTCGAACCGTCTTTTCGTCATTAATTTAGCCGTCACACACGCAATCGTGCGCCCCCAAAACCCTAAAACCTTCGGTCTTCTCAACCGCATTCCCCAAATGTTCATCATGATCAACAATTCCTTTGGTCGATTTTGCCCTTTGTTTTGAATTTCGAACGATTGCTCTTCCCCCCACAACTCTATAAATACCGAAATTTCCTCATTTGTACTTTTACGCTCTCAAACTTCCCGAAATTCTCTGCCATTGATTTCTAGTGCCTCTCCTATTCCGAGTCTTCGTCTTTAAATCCCCAACCCAGAAAAACCCTTTTACTCCGTGCTTCTTTTTTCATAATGGCATCCTTCATCTCCAAGCTTTCCAGGGAATGTGACCAACATCCGAAGATCCTTGATCGGAGCTCGATCAAAGACCATCCGGTTTTGAAAACGACATGAACACCCAGTACCAAATCCTGGGTCCTCTCTTCAAGGCTACAATACCGCCGACTATCATCGGCCTTCTACAGGAGCACTGCCTAAAACCCTTGCTTCGAGGGTTTGAATGGTCGCGATGGGATGCGGCTAAACCCCCAGGGCTCCTGGCCCTCGACGACCACATCCTGGGCAGCCTGGGTCGTTCGAATGGAACGACTCTTCGGCGAGCAATGGAAGGCCCTTGGCATCTACGACGCCATCCTCCTTTCGTCCATGGAAATCGTCCCCGACAAGGAACTTCTCCAAGCCGCTCTGTGCTTCTGGTGTTCGGCTACCAACACAATGGTCCTTCCTCTGGGTCCCATGGGTCCCACCGTCCTGGATATTACTGCCATTCTGGGGACTTCGGCGACCGGGATCCCTGTCGACGCGACCCTCTCTGGGCATCCGTCGAATATCGACCTGAAAACGCTCTTCGACCGTCGGGCCTTCGAGACCTTGAGCCGTGACGGTCATATCCCGTCGAAGGAAGATATTCAGAAGCTCCACAAGAACTTCTGTAATTACAACACCCTCTATCTTCACTTCGCCGGCCGAGGAGAAGAGGACCTGCGAGAGGGAGAGCATGAAGCTTTCCTCTTCTACTGGTACAAACAAATACATTTGTTGTACCAAGTCAAACAAGTGTTTGGTCGAGAACATGCCGGTAGCCGAAGCCCTGGCCAGTGGTCACGTCTTGGCGCTGAGTTCCAACATTCTCGCCCAACTTTTTCCGCTGCCTGGCCGAGGCGACCCTCCAAAAGGTCGACCCGCACCAGAATGGTCCTCTCTGGGTCTTCCAACTCTGGTTGCAGGTATACTTCACCTCCCTTCGGCCGGCCATAGCCGAATTCTCACCAACAGAGGCGCTTGGGTCTCAATTGGCCTCTCGACCGACACCTCCCCATCAAGCCGAAGAGGTATTTCGGTACCTCTTCGCCCTCGACGACTTCTCCAACGACGAGTTCCTAATATGTCGTCGTCGAGACTATCCTTCCTCCATCAGGCTGCCTATCTCCTCATGGAGCGCGGAGGAGGACGCCGATCTCCGTCAGACCTGGGGGTCGTTTGTGCTTGCCCGCGACCTCCCTCTCGGCTGCGATGGGAAACGGTCAGGATGGGAAGTATATCATC